GAGCTTCTCCATCAGTGCTCTCCATGCCAGAGATGTGCCAAAAACCTCTGAAGACACTAGAGAGAGTACAGACAGCAAGTGTGCCAGTAAAACTCAACTGTGAAAACGTGGAGCTTGTTGTAATCTATAAATGAGAAGGGATCAGGCCTAAATTATTTTTCCCCCACAAGGTCTCCTATTTTCCTTGAAATACCAATTCACTTCAGAGAGAAATACAAAGAAAATATAAAAAATTAACAGAAAAAGACAGAAATACAGTGTTAACAGTTTTTATACATAAAATTGAGTCTAAATACATTTTTCCCCACTTTAAGTTATTTGATTTAAACAGTAGTTTTAAAAAGCACTGATGGCATGCCATAAGACACATCAGCATCCAGACTGGACAGAAAGCTGCTGCAAATCTGCTGTTGCCACACAGGTAAGTGGCTTAATGACCAAGTAAAAGTGGATGTTTGTCACACAGGTGACTTGGCTCAACACTGTTCCTGTGGAATATTTACATCTCCATTACACTGAGCTGAGACATGGAGTCGGAATGTCTCCAAAATTATCACTATGGCTTTGTTTGCTTTCTTCTTCCTCTCTAAAAGTGTAACCATATGCTAAGTTTAGTGGGTGTTTTTAGTTGTTTCTTAATTTGGAGTTTATTTAAATTTTAAAAAAAATAGATTTGATTGCCACCAGTAAGTCAGAAATAATTCTAGTCAAGTCAGCATAAACCAGGTACAAATTAGCATGAAAACTGTGAGGAACAGCCTCAGGTACATCAGTTTCAAGATCATATTGCCCAAGCAGTGTGAACTTTTCAGATTGCCTTGAGATTTTGAATATTATTACCAGAGAATAACACTTCCTTTAGAAAATAGACAATTTAGACAAAACTACTTTTACCTTCTTTTTGCGTCTGTTCAGAGAAAACTTTTCACCTTTATTTACAGAGTACTGCTTTGAAATATGCAATAGTTTAACAGTGTTTTTCACATTACACCTCCCAAAGTCAAAATTCATATAATTCAAATTTTTCACCCCACTATTTTCCATCTCAAAACGCTCCCTGAAGCTTCAATTCACATTAAAATTCACAAAGAAAATTCAAAGACCTCTAAACACCAAAAAGCGCCAGCCCACACCTCACAAAGCTGCATTTGTAAATTTTTTTTAAACCTCAAGTCCTCAGTGCAGATACCCAAACTGTAAGCAGTATAAATCAAAGCCTCTGTGAACACCTGATGTGCATTACCTACACATTTTTATATAACATGTCACCATCTCCTAATGCCCCATCTCTCAGCTCTCTGCTCCATTAGTGACCAAAGATGATGATTTTTTTTTCCTTCCTGATAACACCAGAAACTGAAAACACAACCAATGACTTGCTGGCCAGGAACTAAGAGTCAGACAAGCTCATATCCTGCCCTCCTGATCCAGCCTGAATAGCAAAGTTAATGACTTGATGAGCAGCCCACCAAAGTACCAAAACAAACCTTTGTAGGAATTGCCATGAGCCAGCAAAGCATGTCCCAGTCCTTACAAAAAGCACTGCCTCTGCATGGCCAGTGCACACTGAGCCTGGAGAGAGGCAATGAACAAACCCAGAGGCCACTCCAGTTCACAGGGATGACATGACATTCCTCTCCTTTGCTCACAACATCTCTGAGGTGCCACAGGACCTGCCCAGGAGATACCAGAGAGCACTGGGCACTGACCAGCAGCCCCGTGGTCCCTTCTGGAAGCAGGGTGGCCCAGCAGAGCCAGCTCTTGGGCCTCTGGATTGCCCTGCAATCAAGCAGTGCAGACTCTCCTGCCATTCACACAAATTAATTCAGAGAACACTGCTTCCAGAATAACAAGGAGGGGTGCATGAGTAGAGTGAGAGCTCTCTTGGCATCTGATTCAAATAGCAGCTTCTTGCAAGGAACTATTTTTAAGTTTTGTATCAATCTGCTTGAGAAAGGTTCCTTCTGCTGCCTACAAATGTGCAAACTCCCCCTTCGAAGAAATACAGCTCAGGACAGCAAGATCCAGCCTAGCACTCTCAACCTAATCAAGATCAGGTATTTCACAACCAAAGCATTGCACAACACACAACGTTCCTGCAGAGCATGTTCTGGTGACCCCCACCTGAACATCAGTGAGGGCCCCTATTCATTCAATGAGTCCTGTGTGTTCTTCACAAGATTACAGGTAGCACACAGTTAGTTACCCGTGAAACAACCCACACTGAGGCACTCTGCTTCTGGAAGCATCACTGCTTTTTCCACTGCATCAGGCATGGAACTGCTATAGGAGATTAAGAAAAAAGAGGGAAAAGGGCAATTCAGTAAGCTCTGGATGCTGCACATGACCTGACCAGTGAGGTGAAACCATTGTTTGCTGGGTTATCAGAAGTTCCTGTATGAAGGCATTGTTCAAGCTTAAGAGGTCTGTGAGAGAAAAAAAACAAGCAACAGCAGCACACAATGGATGCAGATAAGCAACGTCTGAACAAAGCCCTGGGCGGCTGCAAGACAACGGGAAAACTTATTAGCCACAAGCATCCTATATCCTGCCTCCCATAAAGCAACGCAGATGTTCTGCTAATACAGGGTGAGAAAAGACAAGAGAGCACTGAGCAGCCATTGAGCCCTCCACGGGAGAGAGGGTCGGTGTTCTACAGCTGTTGGGCACAAAAACATCCTCAGGATGGGCGCAAAAAAACCTCTTAAGGGTGGCCACACTCATAGCCCTGAGCCCCTCAAGATCACTGCAAACAGTGCTTTGCAAGCCCAGTTCTGGCCCAGGAACAGAATGAATATTGTTTGAGGGTTTGGACCCCAGGGGAGTTATTTCCACTGGAAATGCATGGCCTTAGACATGCCCACACTCAGGCTGCAGCATGGGGACCACAGCCCTCCATGGCACAGGGAAACTCTGACCACAGCCCTCCATGGCACAGGGAAACAGGGAGCTGCTGGATCCATGGGGCTGAAGGAAGTGCTCCAAGACCCTCTGTCTTGTCTGCAAAGAGGGGTGCAGAAACAGCCCCATCACCTTTTGTACATTTGGACCTTTCCTCAAGTACTTCCCAAAGACAGAGTTATCAGCCCTCCAGGAGGCTTTCCTAAGTCCAAAAAAACTGTTCTCTAGAAAATTCAGGCCACTTAACCAGCACATATTGGGCATTGCTACTGTGTCATGAGGAAACTGCAACCAGAATGTCATTTACCAGCCAGTTACACAGGAAACACTCTGAGCTGTAGGAGATCACACCCTACTCCTTCCCCTGGGTTTTTTGTTGTTGTTTTTTTCTCAACATGGGGTTCCCCATCCCATCCCCACTGCTGAGGTGAGAGAAGTGTTTGCTCATTCCAGTGGGTGGGATTTGAACCCATGAACTTGGTCCTGCACATGGTCCCAGCCCCAGCTGTGCACAGCTGGGTGTGCTGAGGAACTGCACTGCCAACAGCACCCATGGGCAAGTGCCACACACGGGGTGACAGCAGAGCTCAGAGTCCAGCCAAGCTGGGTGGCTGCACAGGGACACCTCCCCAGGATGCTGCAAGCACCAGCAAGGGGCACAAAACTACCCTCCACAGCCCTTCTTTCCATTCACAAATATACACTATAAAATATGAACATATTAATCTCCTCATTACAAGTATCTGCACTGCCACTGGCTACAATTCCAAAGTTTCAATGGCATAAAGAACAAGATTTTTTCCCCTTCAATAAAAAAATATTTGTCTCTCGCTGTCAGCAAACCAGCAATGTAAATGAACATTTGAAAGTCACTGTATAAGTAAAGAGTTATTTCACATAATCAGATTAAAAAGAGAAAACCGAATGCAAACAGAAAACTTGAGCTTCTTGGAAAAAGAGAACAGAAATGAAAACATGAAGAAGCCACTAACAGGAACAAAATGGATAAACCAGGGTTAGTCCAGATCCAGTCCTGGTCTGAACCTCTGCATATATAACTCTACCAGTTCTGTTACTCATTATGCTCATAAAAATAAACACAAATCTTTTCAAGCAATAGTTGAAATTCAAGAGAAAACTTATAAGATTATAAAATTTTCCAGACTCTTTCTAGAAATTTTAACAGGTTGATTACTTTGGTCAAAACATTAAACACAATGTCAAGAATTCTCATCTGCTATCAGTTATCCATATGGTCTCAGAGTAAAAAATACTTTTGAGGAGTCATACATTTGGAAAAAAGAAAAAAAGTGGATCTTCCTTTCCCAAGAACCATGGTGAAGTGAGGCCAGAAAGAGATGCCCACATCCCCCTCCTGAAGCTCCTCCACTCCTCTCCCTGACTCACAGTCCAGCTCTTTGGTAGTTTTGAAAGCCATCCCTGGAACTCCAGCAGGGAGAAGCCACCAAGAGCTATTTACTGCCTCCAAATTTGACTCTGCAAGGATAAGCACCAACCTCAAGGCTCAGCCATAGCTCCAACAGGCCTGGCAGAGCCACTGAGTTCGTGTGTCCAAAGCAGAAAGCACTTCCCCAATGACCATTTCTGGAAATGTTGTTGTCCAAATATTTTGGCTGGTCCTCATCTACAGGATAACCTTAAAGTGCATTTGCAACTGTCTCCAGGAAATACATGTAAAGCTGATTCATTATCTTAAAATGCTGCTTTCATTTTTGCTCATTAAAAACACATTTCAGATCCCTGCACCAAATGCACAGCTGACGTGATCCGGACACTCAAAACTGGATTTCAGTTCTCCCTACTTGTCTTATTTCATTTGCTGCCCACAACCTGTGCTCTGTTTCAGAGACAGCTATATCAGATCTGAGCTACCACTGAAAAATGCCCTGATAAAATCCTCTCTCCCTGCAATTCCTGGCACCCCGAGTCAGACTCAGCCTAAATTTGAGGAGCAGCAATCTCCCTGCAGACAGAGAGCAGCAAACAGCTGTTCTGCACATCCCACACCCCTGCCTGAGCCACTGGGAAGGGAAAGAAAAACAAGGCAGCTTAGGCAATGCACGCGTTCCAGTCCTCACCTTTAGGGAGTCAAAGCAGGCAATAACTCGACCATTTTCCACATGGCAACTCCGTGATGGATGGGCGAACTTGCACTCTGCATCAGACCGAGAACAAGTCCCTCTCTGAAACTCTCGACACACTTCTAACGTCAGCCATTTTGTATCACGAACCAGGGACACGTTTACAGCCATATTAAAAAACAAAAATTAAAATGCAAGCAATCGCACCCTTCCTCAGGGTAATGTTTACTGCTGATCTTCTTTTTTCTTCTTTTTTTTTTAAAAAAAGGGTAAAAAAGTGAATTCAAGTTAAACGTGAAGAAATAACTAACTTGTTGCTTTGGTAAAACTCCTATTCATCAGCACTTAGGTTTTCATTTAAGTCAAATCGTGTTTCTTTAAACAAGAATTAAACATAAAGCCAATCATAAAATAGAAATCTTATCAGAACAACTGAAAATCAAATTAGAGGCCAGCTCCTAAAAGTGCAATTGTAGAAGTTAAAATACAAGTGTTATATTTTGTGCCACTGCCAAAGTTACTTGCAAATAACTGGCAGACTTTCAAAAGAATTCTGTGCTCTCCAGTTAATGGTTTCAATTATTCTTGCAAAAAGCATATGCTGCTGGCAGCACTTCAGTTTGTGGAATGGTCTCGGTCCTTGGGGAGAAAACTTCGGGTTTGTATTTTTTTTTCCTTCTATTTCTTGCTTCTAAAAATTATGGTTCACGAGCATCAAAACAGGCAAAAGGATGTCTGATTTTTTTTTCCTCTTTCTTTTCTTTTAAATATTTGCTACATAGTCGGGGTAAGGAAAAAAAATAAAATGGCTGAGCAAACTGCGTGTAAATGGGGAGCAAAAAAAAAAAAAAAAAAAAGGGCAAGGCTGGAGGAGCCGCCGTCAGGGCACGGACTGCAAGCAACGCCGAATTAAACAGAGAGGGGGGCGAGGGGCAGAGAGAGGCAGCCCTAGACAGAAATCCAAGCAGCGGTGGCTTCAGGAAAGGCACTTTTCAGCAACCTGCAGGAAAAAGAGAAATAGAATCAGCCAGGAGCCTGCGGCCCCGCTCCGGCGGGCGGGCGCGGGGCGGCGCCGGCGGCCATTGCGGGCACGGGGGCACTGCCCGCGCCGCGCTGCGCATGGGAGGCGGCGCCGGCCAATGGCGCTCGCCGTTACAGCAGCACTCGCGGGCAGCCGACCAATAGCAGAGCTCGTTTCATAGCGCCACGGTGGGCGCCGCAGCCTCGGGACCCTCAGGGCCAGCCCCGACTCCACAGCGGCGGGGGCTGCGCCCCACGAGCCCTCTCGGACTGCCGGGGAATACACTGCTCTACAGTATTATTTTTAAATTAACATTAACTAGCCCACTCCTTTTCTGTAGGAAACGTTGAGGCAGCAAGAGCAGCCGGTGGCTGTGTTACATGCCGGGCTCCTGCTCAACCCTTCCAAGGTATTCCATCAAACCATGCCCAGCGCGGGGCTGCTCCTGCGATGGCTCTGGAGACAAACGGCTGGCTCGCAGCCGCTCCTCCATGGATTCAGAGCTACAAAACTAAGAGCAAACCCGACGGGGAAACCTAAGCCACACACACACACACACGGAAAAAATTAACTCATTGCTCACAGCTGTAGTTTTCCACCAGACCAAAGGCAACTCGAATTACTCTGACTCCAGCAACTCGTGTTATACAACAAACAACTTTCAATGCATTCCAGTTGAAGGCTTCCTTGGCATCCACTAAAATGTTAAGCTGTCTCTAGAGTCTCCCATTCTAATATTAGCTGTACCATTGCCGCCTGATAGGATTGGGCTGTTTCCAAGTTCCCAAAATCCAGCCCTTTATCTTCCTAAAGTACGAGCGTCCACTTTTGCAACATTTGACAGGCGCGGGATGTTGCCTGTGTGACTGCTATTAAGATTTCAAGCTTTCGTAGGAGAAGAGCCTTCAAGTACAAAAAAAGGAAGCTTAAATTCCTCTTTCATTATTGGTGTGTTATTGCAATTACACTGATCAGTAACTGAAACCTACTGGAGCTGGAAACAATGGAAACAATGCTACCAAGGAAGAAGTGTGGGAAGAGGCTGTCATCAGCAGCAGGGGGTGGGGCACAGAGGCTGTTTGATTCACAGATCGAATTATTTCAATTTAGAAAAAACAACACTCGTTAAACCTACACTGCAAGTACTTTCTAGGCTTAATTAGACTCAAGTTGATAACAAAACCTGCCCAGATCCCTGCAATCCAGCTTGAGGCATCATCACAAAGCTTGGTCTGACCCATGCTTCTGGAAGGACCTTTGCATTTTTGCACATCAGGTGGGGAACAGAGACTGCAAACATCATATTTGTTAAGCGTGTTTTAAACTTCAAAGAGAAGGAAAAAAGGCACACCTAACCATGCTCGTGTCTTTTGGGTTTTGTAAAGAAGAGCTGCTCTAAATCAATTCCAATTTTGCAAAGAGGACAAATTTATACAGGAATCCCATTCACTGATACGGGCTCCCTGTTCATATGAGCTCAGAAAGCAAAAGAAAGGAAAAGATGGGCAGAAACCTTCTGCAGGGACCTAAGGACTAGCTGGGTGCAGCTCTTAAGAACGAGCTAGAACAGGTCAGATATGGGTGGGGATTAGAAAGAATGCACTCTCAGAAGTTCTTCTGAGAAGACGGAAATACAACCATCTTGTGGATTAAGTGCCTATTCCACAGCTTCAGACTCCCAAGGGAAGTGAGGGTCTCTTAATGCTGGGGATGGAATATGATGGGTCTGACTTAACACACAGCTACACCGAACACCAAGATGTCCAAACAGTGTAGTAACATTTCAGTGTAGTAACATTTGCCTTCCCAGCCCCTGAACCTCAGGAAATCCCAGTGTAACAAACCAAATGTTGATCTTGCTCTCAAGCCACGCAGCTCAGGATCACACACTGCCCACAGGTACACGGCTGCACTAAACTGCTCAGTCCTCAAAATGAAGGGCATCATGTTAATGAAAGCTAAATCAAATTAATTCTACAAAACATTAAACTACAAATATCAAAACATTCAGACACATGTAACATGGTGGATATTTTTCTTTACAACTCCTGAAGGAAGAAACAAACCAACTGATGGAAATCGCCCCTGCACCACACCCTGCAGAAGGGCACACTCATCTGTGCAACATTCAAGAGACGAGAAATTTTCTGTGCCGTGGAAACAACCCCACCTCCCTGCAGAAGGATTGACTCATCTCAGACCCTGGCACTAGAGCTCCTGTACTGGAGGGATCCAAATTAATGAATATATTTTTCATACCGCAATTCTGCAGCCTGCAAGGCACCTGGCAGAGTGCTGCAGCAGCACACACTGCCCCATCACTTGTTTGCTGGGCACACAGGAGAGCAGTAAAGCACATGCTTAACTCTGAGCATGCCAACAGTGTTTCTGGAAAGAAAATCTGAAGCATGTACTTAAGTGCTTTGCTGAATCAGGGCCTAAATAAATGAATCTGCTTCACAGGTTTATCAGGACTGGGAGGGCAGCAAGCACAGGCAGCAGTCATCGTGCTTCGGCTTACATGACCACAGCCCAGAGGAGCACGAGTTAGGCTTTTCTGCAAGTCAACAAATACAGTTCTGTCAGTGTTTGGACTGCTGCAAATCCCTCTCCGTGTGGTCACGGGGAAGGCTGGAAACGCGTGCATGCAGGGCTGACATCACAGCGAGCGCTGCACTCTGCTGCAGCGAGGCTCCCACGCACAGCCCAAGGACAGCACACCTCACCAGGAACCTGCCACTGACAGCACACAGCTCCAGCTCTCCAGGTTCCAACTCCTGGCAGCAAACAACTGTTCTCACCAGAAGGCACCCTTACAATTCCCTTGTATTACACTTTTTGGGGGATGGAGGGTGTGGGGTGGCTGGCATTTTATTCCCTTTGTTCTCCTGTACATTTCAAATAAGAGGAATTTAAAAAAAAAGCACGCATGCCAAAACTAACATACAACCTACAAGGATTAAAAAGTAGCTCCAGAAATCAGGGGCTTCGTTAGTGTGCAGGAAATACAACAAAGAGTAGGTGCTGCCTTTTGAACCCTTCCCAGCAAGCCAGATCTGTCTGGCAGGGCTCAGCTCCTCCACTACCAGATGAGCCAATCTCATTTCAACGGCATCCGCATCAAAGCTGGAGAAAGCAGCAGAGCAGAGAGAAAAGCCTGTGGCCTTTATCCCTGTAAAGAAACTACAATATCCCTGAAGCCTCTGCTCCAGGGCCACTTGCTGGGCCAGGCTCTAATTGCCTGAGCTGCAGGAGGATGGGGCTTGCTCCAGATGTCAGCCCCAGCCTTACAGACACCAAAGGGCAGGGGAACAAGGGCAGTCTGAGGAGCAAAGGTCACAGCAGGGCTTGCCTCTGGCGGGACTAAGATGCCCTGAGTGCTTGAGGTAACACGAGGACGAGCGTATTGCACTCGACACTTGAATTCCTCCTGCTTGCCACGAAACTGATCCCCTTCCACTGACAGCCCCCATGGATGTCAACTTGTGAGGACACTTCCTGACAGTCGAGTTCAGAAATGGTAATTTATGTGACAGGACAGATTCCAGCAGCTCCCAAGTGTAAATGATGCTATTAAAAAGAGATTTTTTTTCTTCTTTTTTCTCCTTTTTTTTTAAAGAAAAAATGACTCAGTAGAAGTGCCAAGGTGGGTTCCTCATTTACTGTTTTTCAAGGATTTCTGGGTCACAACTGCTCAACTGGGAAACAGAAGTGCTGTTGCCCTAACTCACAGTCCAGTGAGTAAGAACAGCAGCTATTCCCCTTGGCTGAAGAGGAATTGGGATACTGCAGACACACTGGAGTTTTTCCAAGGTAAGTTCCAGCTGTGCCTGTTTTTTATCATATGCAATGCTGTCCATGCTCCTCTTCCACTCAAACCACCAGCAGATGACCATGGAACTGAGGACTGGCTCTCCTGAGTCCAAGCTCAGCCCTACACTGCTAGGCTGCAGTGTGCTTTACCTGGTTTTGCAAGTTATGGTGAATGAAAATTCAGACCCATCATGGATGGATGGATGGATGCCCTTGGGGCACAGCAATAGAGAAATTGTGCTTGCAACATCAAGATGTCCAATTTTATGCCAATTCCACTAAAACTAAATATGACTATTAATGTTCACTGAGTGTCTAGATACTGTCAGAGCCCAAAAAATATTTTAGTCTATGGGTTTTCCTCAAAGCACTAAATTCAGCTGGCAGTACAAATGCCCCACTCACTCATCAGTCCTTGCACCTTTGAGATAATTCTGTAACTTGGGCTTTTTATTGCACCTTAATGAGTATGGAAGAGCTTGGTGTGCCTACCACCACATCCTTGGTAAGCCAGAACAGGGAACTCCTCACCCAAACAGCAGTGAGATGTTTCCATTATCAAACAATCCTCCAAATAAACACAGTGTTCTTGGAAACACTGCAAGGCAAAGAGAAATGGGAGCAATGAAAATAGCACACTGAACTGTTTTGTTCTGAAAGAGAAAGAAAACTCTGTGGAGAATACCACCACCCATCCAACAGCCTTGCTTTCTCTTCCACTTTCATAGCAAGTAGTAAAAAACACATGAAACTATATCCTTGCTTATCAAAGGAACCAAAAAGTTATAGTCAAAGGCAAGGTTTTACTGAAAACTGTTCTAGTGTTACATTTATTGGCAGTGATGCATGAGTTAAGATAGTGCACACTTCCAAGTTAGTGAGGAGGTGAAACAAAAAACTTGAAAAATCTTCATCTACGGTCTACCAAGCCAGGAACACAGTGACATTAGCTGAGTTGGCTGACATCAGAGAGGTTCATTTTGGGCCTCAGAAAAGCCCATGACAAGGTAGGTGCTATCACCATTGGATCACAAGGCTTTACTTAGGACTGATGCAGAAGTGCAGCTTCATGATAGCCAAAGAAACCACAAAAATAACCCCCATAAAGTCCAGGCATGGATCCTCCATTGCTGAAGCACCAATGGCAGTGCTCTTTCCCTAGCTCA